CCATCTGGAGGTCAGCTTTCCATGCATTAAATGATGATGAGCAGTTGGTACAAAGGAAATAGAAAATCTCTTGTAGCTCTTGTCTGTCACTGGCTGTTTACCAAAGCATCAGTCTTTCTCTACCAGCCTGGCTGTGTCCCCTTTGTCACTGTAAGGGTCCTTTCTTTTTTAGCCCCCCCCTTCCCCTTCCTTTTCCCAGCTTCTCATCCTATTCTCTCTTGCCCTCTCTTCCTCAATAAGTATTTTTCTTCAAAGAGAGGATGTGAGGATGCCTCTCTTTCTCCCCTTTGCATTCAGTACACCCATTTGGCTCTGACCTAGGGAGAAAGGAATGAAGACACCAAGCTTATGCAGCTGGAGGAAATGCCTGTTTTTCCGAAGATTTTCAATAGGCAGCTAATGAGTTTTCCATTCATTCTGAATTTAGGGGACTGCTGTCATTTCCAGGGGTGGGTTTTTACAATTAAAACAAAATTTTCTAAATGTAGTCAGGCAGACACTCGTAAATTACACCTTGGGTGATAGGACCTTGTGTTCAAAGACAAAGATACTTGAAATGTAATTATGGTCTGAAATTGAATAAAATGTGAAAGGATCGTAGAACAGTGGCCAACTTTAAAAACAAAGACATTTGTTTTAATACTTGGGAAGAAAGAGAACTGGTTGGTCTGATAGGGAAAGAAAATGAACCTGTAATTTAATTGGTGTAGGGAACTTCCCAAGAGAAAGCTCCCTCTACAACAGCATGTCAGATACCTTTGGTGAAATTTAGACCTAGTTGCCCATAGCATTGAGAGACGAAGAGGTTTGCCCTGTTCTCCCAGCCACTCACTATGCGTCATAGGCAGGACTTAACCTACTGCATCAATCTAAGAGGATAAAAATGGACTGATTCTGTCTCAGGCCTGGTCACAGCCTGAGAAAAAGCTTCGCAAGTTGGCAGGAAGGGGAGAAGGCTCCACCCCTTCATTTCCTCCACTTCAAGGACCTTTTTTTCCTTAACCATTGGAAATCTTCCTCGAAGTGACCAAAATCGCAAAAGTCAACCTTCAGTTTTCTGCAGATGACAAATGCATTCAACGCAACAAGTCAGAGTGTGATCTGAGCCAAAAAGAAGGGTTTATTCTCAAGCGTTGTAAATAATTTCATCTTTAAAAAAATCCAACATAGGCAAGATCAATCTGTGAGTCCTAGGAATTTTTAAAAAATAGTATTTAGATCATTTTCACAAAGGTGGATGGAATTCAGATCCTGACTTACACCCAAGAAAACTCAGTCAGTGTTTCAGAGCCACCTGATGCAGACAGACAACTGATTCCCAGCAAATGAGCTAAGAAAAGTGGTGACCTAAATCTGGGAAACTGGGTATTTCCAAGGAAACTACCCATTTCCCCCATTCTCTTCCAACAAAGCACTGTAATGAAATGCATAGCAGATCCAGTTCACTGCCACACCTTCTTGGGCTAATTAGATTGACAGTAGTTGTCCTGTAGCTCTTGATTTTGCTCCCAAAAGAGCAAAGTACCCCGCCCCGCCCCAAATCTAATACACATATCTCCCCCGCCCCTGTCCCAGCTTTATTTACATATCAAGCTAGAAAGGAAACACTATGGATCCAATTAAGAATTTAGGACTTCCCTAAGGCAAACAGCAAAACAAACCAGTAGTTATTTTTTTTACTCTGTGCATTATCCATTCTCTGGTTATTTTAAATATATTGGGGGGGAGGGGGAGAGGGGAGGTGGTTAAAAGGGGAATGAAGAACAAGAATTTAGCCTGAAAGGAGTGAAACCAGGCATGCCAGCTGGTGCTGCCCTGACCTTCCAGGACGAGGTAAAGAAATGAGTAGGAATGCCCCGGGGTTCTTTTTGTAAATCCAAACAAATGTTTTAGAATGACCAAAATAGACTTCACTATAGCCATGGTAAAGAAAAAAGTAGGTTTTATCTCCCCCCTTCCCCTCTTTCCTTTCTTTATGGGGAGGTGGGAGACCTCCATAGTGTAGAAGGCTGTATATGCCGCTGTTCGTTGTAGTTAGCTGTGCCCCTTGGTTTTATGTTTTTAAAATCTTTGGTACAAGGAATGGTGCAGGAATATAGTAAGAAGCAAATGGGATGTTAAAACCAAAAGCTATCTTTAAAACTTAAAAATAAATAATATTAAAAATTCAAAAATGGAAATCATTGGAGTGGAATTATAAAGTGTAGGGCTTTGTGTTAAGCAATAATCAGCATGTCTGGCTCCTTTTTATACAAAATTTCTCCTCAGCATTATCCTATCTTCCTTAAACCTTGCTGTGAGTGAAAACTAGCTTATTGGCTGACTGTCATCTGTAGTTTGGAGCAGCTGGGTGGTGAAGTGTATAAAGTGCTAACTTAGAATCTGGAAGACTCATCTTCCTGAGTTCAAATGTGACCTCAGACACTTAACTAGCTTTGTGACCCTGGTTGCCTCATTTTCCTCATCTGTAAAATGAGTTGGAGAAGGAAATGGTAAACCACTCCAGTATCTTTGCCAAGAAAACTCCAAATGGGGTCATGAAGTATCAGACACGACCGAACAACCATTGTAGTTTGACTCAGTTGGATGTCTATTTTTTTCCTTTTTGACTAAGCCTTAAGAGAAGACCCATGAATAGAGAATAATCTTTAAGATTTCTCACTGACAGAGGTTATAACTCAGGACTGTTGAAACTCCAGAGCCTGTGTATGTTTATTGTTTCCATCAACTGACCAGCAGGATGGAATGAAATTCATTACTCTGGAAACTTGTAGATAACATTAAGATTTTAAGGTCATCATAGAAGTCACAAGCTGGCAATATCTAAATTTCTATGATTTTAGCCAAATGGGAGGATATCCATTTGACACTTAGGATCTAGCACCTTCCGTTACTGGTTATCTTTACGTGTGTTCATGCCTCAGCTCCTAGCTAGATTGTAAATTGCTCAAAGACAGGTTCCTGTGGCTGGGGAATGGACCAGTGATTTTATCAGGATAGGGACATTTCTGATGAAAAGACTAATTTTACCAATGCAAGTGGGCCCTTCTCTGCAACTCACAGTCTTAGAGATAGTTGGCTGGAATCCTTGAGCAATTAAAAGACTTGCCCAAGGTAATACAGCTAGGAAATGACTGAAGCAGAATTTGATCTATGGACTTTCTGAATTCCAAGTTAGGGCTTTCTTCATTTTAGCACCACAGCCTAAGTGTTTTGTTTGGAGAGCAAACAATAGGATGAAAAAGTAGGAGTATGGCATTTGCAAAGGGTGATGTAATCTTTCCATTTCACTCGGCTTTGGTAACCTTTCCTTTGTTTAGGTTTTGTTAACAACTGGTTTAAAAACTGAGTATTCTCTAACCTATAGGAATTAATTCTTTAAAAGGGTTTAAACAGGGACTATTTTTTACAAAGCACAAAGCATTTCAGAATTGTTTGAGACCTCAGAGGACATCCAGTCTGGCCCATATCTAGAAAAGAATCTCATCTCCAAGCCTGAGATCTCTAGTCTTGGTACTTCCCCCTGGCAGTCTAGTCAAGTTAAGTCAATGAGCATTTATCAAACACTGTGGGCCGTAAGCTCAATTTGGCAGATTAAAAAAAAAAGGGTGTGTGTGTGTGTGTGTGTGTGTGTGTGTGTGGCAAAGAACAGTCCCTGCCCTGTGGAGCTCATAGTCTAATGATGAAGAAGAAAACATGCAAAGAACTATGTACAAACAAGGTATTACTGTTCAGTTGTTTTTCAGTCATTACCAACTCTTTGTGACTCCTATGGTCAATGAGGTCACAGAGTGTCAGACATGACTGAACAACAACAATCAGTCTGATAAGGAAGAAAAAATGGACTTGTTTCTGTCGCACGTCTGGTTCAATACTTGGAGTTTGGAATTGGAGTGTCCTGTGACAGGAACTGCTAGGAGGCCAGGGTCACCAGATTGCAGAATCCATTGAGGGGAGTAAGATGTGAGAAGACTCAAAAGGGACTAGGTTATGAAAGGCTTTGAATGTCAAACAGAGGACTATATGTTTAGCGGATAGAGTGCCAGCCAGCCCTGGAGTCAGGAAGACCTGAGTTCAAATCCAGCTTAGATACTAACTAGCTCTATGACCCTGGATAAGTCCTTTAATGCTGTTTGCCTCAGTTTCTTCATCTGTAAAATGAGCTGGAGAAGGAAATGGAAAATCACTCAGTATCTTTGCCAAGAAAACGCCAAATGGGGTCATGAAGAGTCAGAAAGACTAATTGACTAAACAAAATGGGGGGGCGGACAGGAAGTCATGGGAGTTTGTTGAATAGAGGAATAAGATGGTTATATCAGCCCTTTTGGAAGATTAGTTTAATCCATTCCACTTTTGCTTCCTAACAACTCTAATCATTAGGAAGCATCCCCTTATAACATGATGTCATTAAGTCCTGCTTCAATCATACCTATAAACCTGTCCTGAGGAATGTGTGTCCTTGCTAATTCTAACCATTCATTTGTTTGGTTTGGAGGAGAACAAAAGACAGGTGCCCACAAAGAACTCAACCAAGCCAAAAGAAACCACTTTCTCAGAAGTCTGAAAAACAGGGCAAAAAAGAGAGTGTGGCGGCCTCCGGGAGGAAAAGAGGGGCATTGTTCTACCCATTACAAGAGCGTGCTTTTATTGAAGCCTTAACGGTATACTGAAATGAGAATTTCAATAACTAGAGGATGTCCCACATTTGAAACAGAAACCTTCCAGCCCGGCCTTCCGTGAGCCCTTTCATTTCAGGCTCTGCTTTGGCGGCCTTCCAAATCTGAGTTTGAGAGTTAAAATTCATTTCCTGCTCCCAAAGCTTCTGCAGCGTGGAGGACTGAGGGTGGTGGGGGAAAGGGGAGGGGCTGAGGAGAACCGAGTGCAAAGGTTAGTTTAAGAGGAGGGGGGTGGAAACTGTTTATTTTGCCATGCCTAGAATTTGTCTTGATAGTGAGTGACTGTAAAAAGCAAAAGATATTTAAAATAAAAGTAGCTGGGGTTCTCAAAGTCAAGTCATCAGGGCTCTTAAAAGCTTCTGCCTAATTTTTTTTTTGTTTGTTTTTAAAAAATCATTTAAAATATATGGACTCATTAAATCTCCGGAGCTGAAAGAAACTGAGAAATCCAGTTCACCATCTTCAGTTTACAGGTTAAGGGACTTACCCAGGTTACAGTCAGTGACTGACAGACTGGTATGTACCGACCCTCTCCATCTGGTAACCTTTCCCCAACATCATACATATAAAGTCCGCCTTGTTGGTAGTTGTATCCGAACAATGGAACCAAATCCCTGAAGCTGGGGTAGTAGTTCATGATTAATTAATTCTTAATGGTATTGACCTTCTTTTGAACCTTCTGATATTTTCTTTTCTGTAAGGAGATCCATATTTGACCAGTTTATGTAGCAGAAAAGTGTATGAAATATGAGTGGTATAGAAACATCCTTATGATCACTTCGGTGCAATACAAAGAGTGGTGGCTGGGGAGTCAGAAGAACTGGTTTCAAATTCTATATCTGCCTCATAATAACTGTTTGACCTTGGATAAGTCATTTGATTTCACTGGGCCTCAGTTTCCTCCTCTTTTAAATGAGGAGTTTGAACTAAATGACCTATCAGGTCCCTTATATCTCTGAGTCTTTGATCCTTTTATTTGCTGAACACTAAAGACTAATGTCTGGGCAGTTAGATGGCAAAGTTGATAGAGCACTGGGCTTGGAATCAGGAAGACTCCATCTTCCTGAGTTCAAATCTGGCCTTAGATACTTACCAGCTGTGTGACCCTGAGCAAGCTACTTAGCCCTGTTTGCCTCAGTTTCCTCATCTGTAAAATGAGCTGGAGAAGAAAATGGCAAACCACTCCAGTATCCTTGCAAAACAAACAAACAACTCCAAATGGAGTCACAGAGAATTAGACACGACTGAAGCAACTAAACAACCACAAAGAGGAAAGAACAGGGAAGCCAGATGCTATGAATTCAGAAAACCTGGGTTTGAATCTTGACTCTCCTACTTCAGAGCCTTGAAAGTCTATGATCCAAGGAGTGGATTCCATGTTATTTTTCCGATTTCTAGTTGAATAAACAGAAATTGAGTTTGCTTTCCTGGAAAGCATGTCATAGTAGGAACCATGATCAGTCAAGGCTAGAGGAATAGTCCAAAATAAAAAATGAAACCTATCTCATCAGGAAAAGGTAGATAAATGCTATACTAAATTTCCTAATTAAAGTGTGTTAATGGCTTTAAAGGAAACGCTCCTAATTTGCAGCTTTTAAGGAAAGAGAGAAAGTGAGGCCTGGAGACCGCCCTAGAGTTAAAAGTTACACCTTATGCCAAGAATGGGGAAAAATCCTTAATTGTTCTTGAAAAATAAACAATAGTAATTCAAGAGAAGCAGTCACATTGCTTCTTGGGAGGAGGTTAGGCTTTTCAAGAAGCTAATAACTCTTAAACTAATCCGATAGTTTTAAGCCTAAGGGGGGTTTATTTGCATAAATCCGGGGGTGTGTGATTTGCATAAATTCCTCAAGCACTGGATTGAAACAATTAGACCTTTTCCTCACCCTGGGTAGTAAATAAATCCTAAAACATAAATAGTGCTTGAAAATGACATTATTTAACAGCTTTTTAACAATTTACCTAAATTGTAGAGGTTGGTGGGCGGATCAAACAAAGCATTTTATTCATGAGTGGCAAAACCAGACCTGATTTCTAGGAGCCTTCTCCTGTTCATTTATTTCTCTAAGTTCGTTCTTGTCAGGATCAACTCGGCGATCTGTTTTTGTTTTCTTCTTTAATAACATCTTTCACTGGGGGCATCTAGGTAAGTAGGAATAGATCATCATAATAATAGTAACAGCTAGCACTTATGTAGTGCCTACTCTGTGCCAGGCACTTTAAAAATATTATTTCATTTCATCCTTACAACAACCCTGGGAAGAAGGTACTATTATGATACCCTTTTTACCATTGAGGAAACTGAGGCAGACAGAGGTAAAGTGACTTATGCAGGGTCACACAGCTAGGGACTGTCTGAGTTCACATTTAAACTCAGGTCTTCTTGATCCATCTGTCACCTATCTGTCCTAGTGAATGATCCACTTTTGGGATGGTAGAATCATAGATCCAAAGTTCAAAAAGACCCAGTCCAAACCAGAGCTCAGCTGCGAAAGTTATTACTACTAGAGTCATGGAGAAAGTCATAATCTCTCTTCTTCTTTTTTTTTTTAAAGAAATTTGAAACCCGAGAGACAAGGTGTCATTAGGTCAGTCAACAGGCATTTATTAAGCTCCTACTGTTGCCAGACATTGTGCCAAATACTGAATTTGTGATCAGATGATCTCTCAAGATCCCTGGAAGACCTGAGATTGTCTTATGTTGACAGGGCTATGGTTTGTCCTTTGTTCTCAAAGAGGAACATGACATCAGGGAGGTGATGCCATGACAGCAAGTGAATTGAATTTAAGTGAGGGAGGGCTGTGCAATGTCAGCAACCTCACTGTCTCCTCCAGAGTCATATGGGTCCAGTGGCCAGATATATATCAGGACAACTGCAGATAGCTCCAGATGCAGGGGAAGACCTTGGCCTTTTAAAGCTAAGGTCTTTAGCAGGTCTCTGACTGAGGCAACATCCATTAAGCAAATTCTGCGTTAAACTGTCTTTCACTTTTGCCAGATTTTCAGTTTGCCTGCCCTTTCTTTTCTGTTGTGTGTCCTCCTTCCATCCCCAGTGTGACAAATGTTATTTCTGCATTTCCTATCGGATAGGGAAGTCACCCCTGTTATTCAGAGATGAGCTATTGTAGCCTTCGAATGTAGGCAGAATGTAGATCTGAGGGGATTGGTAATGGACAGAAAGAAACAGGGTAATCCACACTAGAGGCAAGAAGATGAGGTCCAGTGGGGCACTAGTGGGGGTTTTGTACTTTAGGCAGGAGAGCTGTACGTCTGAGCTCTCTTCAGCTACAAATCTCACCTTCCCAGTTAGAGTTCGAGCACCATGATTGTTTCATTCTTTGTATTTTTATCTCTAGCAACGACTACTATGCCTTCTACATGTTGCTGTTTTCACTCATGAAAACATTTAAGGTTTTCTTGTCAAAGATCCTGGAGTAGTTTGTCATTTCCTTCTTCAGCTCATTTTACAGATGAGGAACTGAGGCAAACAGGATTAAGTGACTTGCCCAGGGTCACCTAGCTAGTGTGTGAGGTCAGATTTGAACTCTTCCTGACTTCAGGCTCAGAACTCTATATCCACTGCCACCTGTGTGCTTAATAAATGTTAATAAATCATTAATGAGTTTACAAATGAACGAGCTAAATTAACACACAGGTTCTGAATAAATTTGGTTTAAAAATTTTATTTATAGGGAGGAGGGAGGGAGAAAAAATTTGGAATTCAAAATTTTATAAAAATGAATGTTGAGAACTGTCCTTACATGTAACTGGAAAAAAAATACTATTAAATGAGAAAAATATTTTTAAAAATTATTTATTTAGTTTAGATATATAAGCAGGAAAGGGTGTGGTTAGTGTTCCACCCACCTAGGGGTGGGGTCCTAGGTGTTGGTACTTTAAAATGTTTGTAAAGATTTTTCAAGGGCTCACTTTTAAAATGCTCACATACTTTAGATTTTCGGGGGGGAGGGTGGGGGATTGGAGTCGGGGGAAGAAAGAGGAAAGAGGTAGGAACGAAGAACCAATGTAATATCACAGGCTCAGGACACTAAAAACTTATATCAATATTCAGTTTTCTCCCATCTGCTCATTTTTACTCAGAAGATTCCATTGTTGCCAAAGCCACTGTTAGCCTTAGTCTTGAGTGGTTGGGGTGAGGCCTGGATAGGAAACAGGGAGAAAGCCCTGAACCAGCTTGTAGGGAGTAAGCCTCTCTCAAGCCTAGGCAGTGTTTCCTGAGTCCTGTCTGGTGCTGTCACGCAGGCTTCCCCCTCTTCCTTTATTTAGAGCTGCAGAAAAACCGGTGTTTGCAGTAGATACTAAAAAGGCACCCTTTGGTCCTTCATTCCAGTTTTGTCCTCTACCCCTTCTTGATCTGGTCTTCCTTTCAGAATGCTCCTGCTGGATCTCCATCCTCCCGCTCCTTTGCCCAGGCTTAGCCTCCGTCTAGAAGGATGGACCTGTAGATGTTATCAGAGCCACGTTTTGACAGCCCCAATTTCACAGGCTTGCTCTCAGAAACTCAGAGCCAGAAGGGACCTCCGAGGCCATCTAGTTCAGCCTGTGCATGATGAAAGCCAGTGGAGCGAAGGGTATAGGGGGAGAGGGAACGAACATTTAAAAAAAATTTAGTTTTCAACATTGGCTTTTATAAGATTTTGAGTTCTAAATTTCCCCGCCTCCCCCCCTCCCCAATCTGATATAGGCTATACATGTATGATCATATTAAACATATTTCCACATGAGTCAATTTGTGAAGGAAGAATCAGAACAAAAGGAAACACCCACGAGGAAGAAAAAAAAACAAAAAAACAACAAAAGAAAGAGAAAATCGTATGCTTCCATCTGCATTCAGACTCCACAGTTCTTTCAGTGAATGTGGATAGCATTTTCCATCATGAGTCTTTTGTAATTGTCTTGGATCATTGCATTGCTGAGAAGAGCTGAGTCTAACAAAGTCGGTCATCACACAGTGTGGCTGTTACTGTGTTCAGCGTTCTCATGGTTCTGCTCACTTCACTCAGCATCAGTTCATATAAGTCTTTCCAGGTTTTTCTGAAGTCTACCTGCTCATTTCTTATAGGACAATAGTATTCCATTACATTCATATACCGTAACTTGTTCAACCCCATTGATGAGCATCCCCTTAATTTCTAATTCTTTGCCACCAGAAAAAGAACTGCTATAAATATTTTTGTACATGCAGGTCTTTTTGCCTTTTTTTTTATGATCTCTTTGGGATACAGACCTAGAAGTGCTGTTGTTGGATCAAAGGGTATGCACAGTTTTATTACCCTTTGGACATAGTTCCAAATTGTTCTCCGGAGTGGTTGGATCAGTTCACAACTTGGAACAGCATTTATTAAGCACCTACTGTGTGCTAGGTATTTCTCTGAGTGCTTTGCCAATATTATTAGTTCATTTGATCCTCACAACAACCCTGGGAGGTAGATGCTGTTATAATCCTCATTTTACAGTTGAAGAAACTGAAGCAAGACAGATATTAAATGACTTGTTCAGGGTCTACATAGCTAGTGCCATGGGTATCCAGGACTGGATTTGAGCTCAGGTCTCACTGACTCCAGGCTCAGCCTTCTATCGAGCTGCTTCTGGATAGAGTGCTGGACTTGGAATCTTGAAGACCTGGGTTTGAATTCCACCCAGACATGTATTAGCTGTGTGACTCTGGGCAAGTCATTTTAACCTCTCAGTGCCTCAGTTTCCTTATCTGTAAAATGAAGAGATTGGCTCAAAGACCTCCGAGGTCTCTTCTAGTTCTAATGTCTATTGCCCTATGCTTCCTCAACGAGTGGTTTTCTAGATTAAGTTTGAGTATTTCTAGTGAAGGGGACCAAATTCCTGCTAAAGTCAGGAAAAAACACTCACCTGCTTTACCAAACCGTTGAATTAAAAAATGTTAACAGTGGAAAAGGAGGTAGGCAGTTCACATATATTATGAGTAAAGTGGAAGGATAACTGTTTTATATAGCATTGTAAGGTTCACAAGGTAGTCAATCAGCAAGCATTTATTGAGTTCTGACCAGATAGAGTGCTGGGCTTAGAATCAGGAAGACTCATCTTCCTGAGTTCAAATCTGGCCTCAGACACTTACTAGTTGTGTGACCCTGAGCAAGTCACTTAATTCTGTTTATCTCAGTTCCTCATCTATAAAATGAGCTGGAGAAGGAAATGGCAAACTACTCCAGTATTCTTGCTGAGAAAATCCCAAAATGGGGCCATGAAGTGTCAGCCATGACTGAAACCGCTGAACAACAAATTAGGTGTCAGGCATTGTATTAGGGGCTGGGAGTTCAAAGGCAAAGATGAAATAGTTCCTGTCCTCAAGTAAGGGAGACATCATGTAAGTTTTTTTAACAAACATACTAACTATTTAAGTATGGGGACTAGACATGATTTTACTACTATATGGAAATCACAGGTGAGAAAACTCCTGCTTACCAGTGTAGGGCACCATCTTCTCTGTACTTTTTAAGTCAGAGAATTCCCTAGTGCACTGGAAAGTTAGGGGACTCCTCTAGGGTCACACAGGCAGTATGTATCAAGGGCTGGGATTTAAACCTAGGTCTTCTTGGTTTAGAGTCCAGTTCATTGACCACTATCCAACATACTAACATATACTAACATATCTCTCTTATAGGAAAACGCACAAAAGAAGTGTAAGGTGCTTAACATGCATTATATCATTTGATTCTCATAGCAACCCTGTGCAGTAGATGCCACAGGTATTATTATCCTTGTGCACAGATGAGCAAACTAGGCAATGAAATGATTTCCCCAAGATCCTTCAAGTAGTAAAGGACAGATGCAGGCAGGATTTCAAATCAAATCCCTCTCTTTTAACTCCAAGTCCAAAATCTTTCCACTCCTGAGTACTTCCATCCTTTCCCTGTTTCACTGTAATATGCTTGGTGGCCATAGACATATGGATGCATTAAGTTATGGATGAAGTTCTATATTTGGAGAAACAGAAATTTCCTTTGCTTCATCCAAGATTTCAGCAGAGAGTTCTTTGCCCCCAGCTCTAATCACGTACACATAATACACATACACAAATTTGCATTATTCCCCCAAGAATTCAATACTTTCTCATATTTGCTACCCCAAAAATGTCGCACTATATTATAAGATACAGTGTCAAATTAAGACAAATGACCATTGCAAGCCTGCTCAGTTTGTATAAATGTCAAGTTATGAATTTAAAAAGAATTGTGCCAATTTGAAACAAGCAGAATACATCCATTCATTTAAAAATGTAAGTATCCAAATTAGAGGACTAAGGGGCAGTTGGTGGTGCATCTGGCCCTGGAGTCAGGAGAACCTGAGTTCAAATTCACCTGACACTTAACTAGCTGTGTTACCTTGGGCAAGTCATATAACCCTGATTGCCCCTGCCCCCATCTCCCAAAAAAAGAAGACTAAGACATTTTCTCCAAACATATAAGTGGCACTGATGTCCTTTCTTAGCCCTTAGAATCTGAAAACATCATGAAAATAATTCAGTACAAAAGTCCTTAAGCATTTCTCAAGGAAGGGACTTTCTTTTCTTTTGAAGATGTTGTTAGGGTTTAGAAATATCACAGGACTTGAAAATGCATTTTTCACCTATTTTTCTAATCTGATCAAAGTACTTAGCGTTCCCCTTCTACCAGCCTTTTTTTCTCCCTTTTGGGATAGCAAATTAAGAAGACCTGAAATGTTCAAGCCCATTTTAAATCAGTTTCTCAGTTGTTCATTGGAGACTGCAAATCAGAAGGCTATGATAATTTAGACGTTGGGGTTCTATAGACTCAAACTTAGTTAAGACTGGAAAAAGAACCCTCAGCTTATTTGCAGCATAAATAAAAATAGTAATGTCACATTGTGATTAATAGTTGTGATATTGAAATGATGGTATGTGGTTTAAAAAAAAATCTGTGGCATTATTGTCCACATTGAATCTGAGCTTTCAAACAATTATTTTCGGGAGGAAACATGGTATATAGGATTTAGAGTTGAAGCTCCTGGGTGTCTGACTGCTGGCCCTTCCACTTTTAATGTGAGCTTGGTCTCTTCACCTCTTCACATCTAGAGGGGTGTTATTAGGTAGCCACTGAGTGCCTTTCCAACTCTAAATCATTTATTTTTGGAAAAAAAAGGTACAGGCTAGACCAGTGGTTCTTAAACATTTTGGTCTCCGGATTCCCTTTACACTCTTAAAAATTAGTGAGACACCAAAGACTGTTTGTTATGTGGGTTGTTTCCATTGATATTTAGTGTATTAGAAGCTAAAACATCTTTCAGAGGTTTGCTGGAGCCAGCTCATACCATGAGAGCTGATTGTTAAATTTTCAGTATGAGCATCAAAAATTGTCAAATGCTACAAAATTAGAGTTTGATTTATTGTTTTGTTGATTGTCTAGGTGAGAAAAATGATAGAGAAAATATCAATAATGCTGATTAAACTTCAAAATATATACCCAAAGGTCCCTGGACCACACTTTGAGAACTTCCGGGCAGGACTGTAGGATAAGATTGGTATAGAAAGCTGCGAACTTCTGTAATGATCTATTTCCATAACCTTGCTTAAGTATTTTAAGCAGTCACAGCCAATTACATTTCTAGTCTGTAAAATGGGCAAATAACATAGAAGCAAATTTATTATAACATGAGGGTAGGGACCAGTGATCTAAAATTTGTGTAGTTCCCATAGTGTTGTCTTTACAGTAGGTACTTAATAAATACTTATTGAATAAATGGATGTGTTTTTACATTGGCTGTGTTTTATGCTTACTTATAAGTGTACATGTGTTTCCTCCAACAGGATGTAATTTCCTTAAGGGTAGAGAATGTTTCAATTTTGTATTTGTAACCCCTGGGCCTAATTTCATGCCAGGTATACAGTAGTCACTTAAGAAATGCTTGGTGTTTAATTGATTGATTGATTAACCACTCTAGTCTATTTTGTCTTCTGTAAAATTGGTATAGAAGGAAGGAAACAAGCATTTCAGTGCCCACCTATGTGCCAGGCACTGTGTTAGGTGGTTTACAAATATTACCTCATTTGATCTTTACAACAACCCTTGGAAGTAGGTGCTGTTATTATACTCATTTTACAGTTGAGGAAACTGAGGCAGATAGTGAATAAGTGACTTGCCCAGGGGTCACATAGCTAGTAAGTGCCTTAGGCTGGATTTGAACTCAGGTCTTCCTGATTCCAGGCCTACTGCTCTATCCCCAGCAATAGTCAGATGGCTAATAATACCTGTCCTACTAAATTCACAGGGTTATTGTGATGATTAAATGAGATAATGGACATGAAAACGTGTTGTGAAGTGCCATTTCATTGTGAATATTATTATTAATTTTTGTTGTTATTGAGTTGTTTTAGTCATGTCCGACTCTTTGTGACCCCATTTGGGGTTTTCTTGGCAAAGATACTGAAGTGGTTTGCCATTTCCTTTTTTTTTTTTTTTGGTGAGATAATTGGGGTTAAGTGAGTTACCCAGGGTCACACAGCTACTAAGTTTCATGTGTCTGAGCTGGATTTGAACTCAGGTGCTCCTGACTCCAGGGCCAGTGCCCTATTCGCTGCGTCACCTAGCTGCCCCGCCATTTCCTTCTCCAGCTCATTTTCCAGATGAGGAAACTGAGGTAAACAGGGTTAAATGACTTGCTTAGGGTCACACAGCTAGTAAGTGTCTAAAGGCAGATTTGAATTCAGGCAGATGAGTCTTCCTGACTACAAGCTTGGTACTCTATCCACCATGCCACCTAGCTGCTGTCCATTAAATGCTCAATACTTTCCCTCATTTCAATATTTGCCTCATGACTTAATTACTTAGTGAGAACAATTTTACTCTAAGGATGCGGCATTTTAAAGGTGTTCTATCTGACGTCCTATATTAGTTCTGAGGAGTCTTATGACAAATGCAAGGCTGGGAAGTAGTATGAATGCAAACCTATTCCTCAACTCTAATGCCATAGGACATAATTTTATTTATGTCTCTGATAAGAATGGGACCAACTAAGGGAACAAATTATTCAAAAAACAAAACCCCCAAACACAACATATAGTCAACTCCTGATGATGTGATTTCAAAGCTGCCCCATTTGAAATCCAAATCAGTTTTTCTCCCATCCCAGGTCAATTCACTCCGCCTTCTTTATTTACCTTATAGACGCAAGGTCAGGAAATGAAAACAATTTGTTGGATGATGGGGTAGGCCTACGTGATCTCTAAGATACTTTCCTGCTCTAATATTTTACGTTTCTATAATTCTGCAAGACATTCTTCCACATATTTATATGATGCACATCTAGGCAAAATATAAATAACTTTAGGAATTTTTTTATTGCTGTTTTCCTCCAGTGGGGCAGATAATTGTGTTGACTTCTGTGAAGAATCCTTGCTGAAGACTGAAATGATAGCCCTGGTACGTCTCATCTCATCTATCTGTATGTTTCAAGTCAAGTACTGCCGTATCTACCGAATATCCAAATAGACAATTTTCCATTTCTCTCAGAACAAGCATCCCTTTGGCTCCATCCCATCAAGTTTTTGGCATCTTGTTCTGTCCTCTGTGGGCCCAGTGAAATCAGTCTGTTAAGTTGGGATGGCTCTTCTGTCCTTTGTCATCTTTGCTAGATGATGGATATGGTATCTATTCATGCTAAAAATTATTTCTGTCACATCTTTCATTGTGACCTCTCTTTGTCATGTGACCATGATGATGGGAGAGTCAATATGTTATTTTTAAAATATGTGTCTACTCTTCTCTCTTCAATGTTCAGGGAATGTATCATCATGGTACATTGTGGAGTTGAATATCTTTGCCCTCATCTTCACGGACACCTCATCATTATCTAGTACTACACACACATGACTGAAATTGATTTAGGCTGTTTGGTACATGGAACCCATTCTATTCAAATGCTCTATAGAAAAATGTTAAGACCTTCTGATTGATAATTCAGCTCAATCCAACAGACATTTATTAATTACCTACTCTGGCCCAGACATTATGCTTTGCTCTGGACAAATGAAAAATCTTTTTTGCCCTCAAGAAGCTTATATTCTAATAGAGGAAAGAAGAGGGACGGCATGTATACAGACAAGTAAGTATAAAATGCCTCCAAAGTAAAATACCAGGTAACTTTGGAAGAAGAGGAGAGAACACTGACAACTTGGGGTACCAGGAATTAATGAGAGTATTGTGGCAATGGAAGTAAAACACATTAACAGGCAATTTAATAGACTGCAAGAGACCTTAGAACTCAATGAGCTCAACCTCCTAATTTTTATAGCAGCTGTGTGGCATAGTGGATAGAGTGCTGAGACGGGAGTCAGGAAGACCTGAGTTCAAATCTGGCCTCAGACACTTCCTAGCTGTGTGACCCTAGGCAAGTCATTTAACCCTGTTTGCCTCAGTTTCCTCATCTGTAAAAGGAGCTGGAGAAGGAAATCTCAAACCACTCCAGGATCTCTGCCAAGAAAACCTCAAATGGGGTCACAAAGAGTCAGGTAACAATTAAAATAACTGAACAACCCTAAAAAAACAACAACAACCCTCAAAGCTTGATCTAGCATTGATTTTTTTTTTTGCCTATCTCTAACCCTTAGTGTACTTTATCTTTTAAAATTTTTTCTTCTGTTGATGTATTTTGTTTCAATTCAGCAGGTACATTCCAAAAACCACATAAACAAACCTCCCAACAAAGAACATCGTCTGTAAACGATGTAAGGAAAATCACCTAAAAGGGTATTTATGACTGATGACACTTTCTACTTTCATTATTTATGATTTATTAGCAGAAAGACTGTGGGTTCAATTTTTAATTATTTGGTACCAGTGCTCTCTATTCTATTTGATTTATTGATGTCTTCATCCCTTGTGGACTCTGCTTCCTTTGTTTCATGTCATTTCACACAGCTCTCCCCTTATTCCTCTGAATTCTTCATTCTTATCTTTCTATATAGCACAATGACGTTATGTTATGTTCACATGCCACAATTTGTTCAATCATTCCTCACTGCTGTACTTTTCTTGAGATGCTTTATAATTATCACTTTATAATATACTGTCATACTCTAATTCTCTGCAGCACACCATTTAGCGCTTTATTTTATCTTGTCTCATTCTTTACAGGTCTCAAGTGTGTATATTTTATTTCCCCATTGGGAATATAATATCCTTGTTCTCAGAGGCTGCATTTTATACTTTTTTGGATCCCTGACAACACTAGCCTCATAATAGGCCCTTGGTAAATGGTTTTTGAGTATTTAATTGGTTGACTTTGAAGTTCCTCTCCATCACAAAAGGCCAGGGATCCTCCAGAATCCATGGCAGACGCTTATGTTTCTATTTGGTATGCCTAAGTAAGAAAGTTCAATATGAGGAGCTCAGAAAAGTAAAGGAAGATTTGTATGAACCGATAGAATGAAATAAAGCTTAAAGCAGGATAGCAATATGCACAATGAACAGATCACTAAAAAGAAGTCAAGGTCTAAATAATTGAGAAAGCAATAATATCTCTGAAGAATAGATAACAAATTTGAAAGTGGACTCTTGTTAGATGAGGCCATTGTATTGGTTGTTTGTTTAATTGTTTTTCTTGGTCATAAGGGTTCAATTTTGGTTGAGTAGGAGAAAAGACCATGAAATTATAAAACAAAAACGCTGGCCTCAAATCTAGCAAGACTTGGGTTCAGGTTCTGTCCTCTGACACTGATTGGCTGTGTAACTCTGGGCCAGACCCTTAACCTCTCAGAGCTTTCTAAGACTATACTGTTACAAAGAAGGTGCTGACCTGTATTGATTGAGGAAATTTCTTCACTGTGAAGTTACCTATACTGATGAAAGGACAGCTCTAATCCTTACTCTAATTTTGGCAATAATGTGAAGGATAGTTAAAATGAAATGAGGGTGAGTATTGGAAAAAAGGAGGGACTGGAGGCAGGATGGACCTTCAGGAGGCTATAAAATGGTTCAGGTGGGAGGTAATGAGGGCCTGAATAAGGATGGAGGCATTAGAGGAAAGGCAGAGTCAGATTTATAAGAATATCTCTTGCAAACTTAACTAACAAGAGTGTGTTAATCAAGCTAAGAGTTGCTTCCAAGTATTTAGGCCTTAAACGGAAAGAGGAAATACCTTAATGTCTACCACTATAATGGTTTAGCTTGAATCAAAGTCAGGAGCTTGGAGTGAGGTTGTTAGTTCACAAGAAAGGGCGAGGTTGCTCGAAAATCACAATTAAGCAGCTTCCTGTTTTGAAGATGTAGTTCAACAATGATGGCAAATGGCTTCAAAGATAAAAATGGATGCTTGCCAGCTTTTGGAAAGCACCAGTCTCCTTCACTTGTTTTATTGTTTGATGACCAAGGGGTCACAGCTCTGTCTGCATTGTTTTCTCCTCTCTTTTCTTTGTTAGGCTGTTAGAATTCCTGCTGAAAATTAAATTATGCTTTCCAATTTCCTCTTCTTGATTCAAAAAGTTAATTATAGAGAAATTATTAAAGATATTATAAAGTGAGGATACTTGTTTTTCTGTATTCTGCAATTTCTACACACAAAGAAGTAAAAATAATAGTTTTGTGCCCTCCCCCCACACCTTTGGAAAAGGTACTTCAAAATATTTCTCCAAAGGCTCAAATATCTTGGCAACAATTTTTTCTCCCTTTCCGCTTGCTTTGAGACAACACTGTGTCTGGAACATTACTTCTTATTATATCTTTCTTCCGTGTGCCATAGACTCTACACTGCCCTCCCCACACCGTATGTTTCTGCCAAACTGGACCACTAGCTATTCCCTGAACTCATCTCTCTCTCTCTCTCTCTCTCTGTCTCTCTCTCTCTGTCTCTTCTTTCTTTCCTTCTCTTCCTTCTTTCCTTCCTCCTTTTCTTTTTCTTCCTTTTTTCCTTCTTCCTTCCTTCTTTCTCTTTCTTCCTTTCTTTTAATCAAATGTATTCACATCACAGGAATATAATTTTATTGGATGTTTGAAAGTGAATATCCAAGAAACACCTCAACATGTCCAAAATAGATATCATTATCTTTTCCACAGATCTGATCCTCTTCCTAAGTTCCCTATTTTTGTCAAAGACGCTAGCATTCATGAAATCTCTCAGGTTCATAACAATTCATAAATTGTCCACAATTCCTCACTAGCTCTCACCCTATATCTCCAAATAGTTGCTCAATCTTACTGTTTCTACTTCTACAACATCTCTGAGCATCCAACCCCTTCTTTCTACCCACACAACCCTCATCATTTCTCCACTAAACTGTTGCAATAGCCTCTTAATTATTCTCTGCCTCATCTCTTCCCAATCAATCCTCCATTCTTATGGCAAATTAATTTTCTTTAAGCATGTATCTGGCCTTGTCACTCCCCTACTCAGTAACCTTCAGTGGCTTCCTACTGCCCTTAGCATAAAATATAAACTCTTTTGGTTAGTTTTTAAAGTCCTTCACTACCTGGCCTAAAATGATCTTTCCAGCCTTGTTGTACATTACTCCTTCCTTGCTTTTGGATCTAATCAAATTAGTCCTCTTCTGTTCCCCACATGAGACTCTCCACCTTCTGTCTCTGAGATTTTCTACTACCCCCATTCCTATAATGCATTTCTTTCTCATCGCTGCCTTAGAGAGTCCTTCTTTTCCTTTGTGCTGAAACTCAAGCATCACTTGAAGACTTTTCTAATTTCCCCAAATATTAGTACTCCCCTCTGTGAGCTCCTTGAGAAGCAGAGACTATATTTTGCACTTCTTTGTATCCTCAGCACTTAGTTTCATGCCTGTCATGTAGGTGTTTAATGAATGCATTTTGACTTTAATATCTTTATATTTATTTTTATTATTCTCTTTAAGCTTATTCTGTATACGTACATATGTATTATTGTCTCCCCTAGTTGAATTTAGAGATTGTTTCATTCTTTATATTTATATACCTAGGACATAGCATAGCACCTGACACTTAGGAGCTTAATGAATACTTGTTGATTAATTGATTGAGAGTTAATGCCAATGGCAAGCCTCTTATAACTTAGTGGATAAAGTCTTGGAGAGGTAGCTGAGGCTTAGAGTGGTTAAGTACCTTACCCCTGGTTGGTTCAGTTGTTTTTCTGTCATATCCAATACTTCATGACTCCATTTGGGATTTTCTTGGTGAGTGAAATGATTATTAAATAGCCAATTGTTAATTCTGGGGAAATCCAGGATTTTTTCCCTTTCTATTTCCTCTTTCTCTACTAGGTCAAGTCAGCCTCTGAAGAATAGAGCTGATAATGAGATTGGACTTCAACGTTCTCCTCTATCTTGTTCAGACCCCATCCAGCTGGGCAAACGGTTAAGTGACTTGCCCAGGGTCACACAATTAGTAAGTGTCTAGGGTCAGATTTGAACTCAGAAGGATGGATCTTCCTGTATCCACAATGCCACCTAGTTGCCCTAATATTTTTACCCCTGGTTATGTAGTAAATATCAGAGGCAGAATTTGAACTCATCTTCTTGACTCCAAGTTTAGCATTTTATCAGTCAACAATCAATCACTTTCAACAAGCATTTATTAAGTCATCACAGAGTGCCAGGTATTAGAATAGGTACTAGGAACAGAAAAACACAAGGAAGAAATCCCTGCCCTCAAAGAGTCAATCTATTGAGGGAGGGGGAATAGCATTTATACTTATAAATAGTTACAAAATAGATACAAAGTAAATACCAGGTAATTGTGGGAAGAGAGGGAGTTACTAGCCTCTCAGAGATCAGGAAAGGCTTCCTGCATTTAGTGGTACTTGAGTTGAGCTTTAAAGAAAACTAGGGTTTCTAATGGCACGGTGTGCTGGTTTGCCCATGTAGTTTGCCCATGTAGTAGTCCACATGGGTGTATCTAGATGTGACTCACTGAGAGGCAACAATAGATATTTCTAGAGTTTCCTCCCACAATCCTGCTCCAAGGGAGACTTTGATTCCAGCCAAGAGAAGATCTTGCAGGAGGTTGGGGCCATTCTGCTTTCCTCAGAGAAAGGAGGTACCAGGTTAGAAGTATACCTATCTGCTCCCTTAGATATTGTTAGTCTAGGGGACATATTTTTTAGGTTCAAGATACACTCCTCATCTCTATCCCTTAATACGGAAAGAGTGCTCCAAACCAATTTATCCAAATTAATTTCTTCCCACCCAATTCTAGTTTGGCAAGGAACATATATAGTGAATAGCGAATAAACCCATTTAACCAAGTCAATAGCAAAACAGAAATCAGAGAAGTTAGAAATATGAGAATATGCCAGACAGGACAGAGTGAATGAGCTCTCCCACGGGGAGTAAGATAACTCAGCTCAACCAAGACAGAGTTTTAGATCTCACCCCGGGGGGAATACCCTGAAGCCTCTGGAATAGTACATTGGGGATAGAGATGGGATTGATGTGCCAACTCCTCTACGTGTCAGCTTCTCCTCAGAGTCTTTCCCTATCAGGACCTGAAGAGAGTCTGAAATCCTATTTCTTCTCTCTTGAAGTTGGAAGCTAGAGGACCAGAATCTCTCTTCTCTAAAGCTCTCAACAATTTTGGCTCTTACTCAGGCATGGGACATTGAATAATCAATCTCCACCAATTAGGATACACTAATAAAAGAAGCAGACCAATCAGACAATCAGTCGATACACATTAGCTCATGAGCTCCTCAAGGACAAGCACTGTCTTGTATCTTTCTTTGTATCCCCATTATTTAGCACAGTGCCTAGAACATAGTAGGCATTGAGTAAATGCTCATTGACTGACTGTTTGACTGACACCATCCAGTTGTAAAGTGGAGATAATAGCACTTACCTCACAGTTGTGAGTATTAAATTGGATAGTATTTGAAAAGTGCTTAGTGCAGTGACTGACCCATGGTAGGTGCTATATAAATATTTATTCCTGTCCCCTTTCTCCCCTAAAACTCATCACCATTATAATGATATTTGCCAAATGGACTGGTCTTGTAGGCCAGGCATAAATGAAATTAGTTTAGTGCTTCAGAGTCAGGATTGGAATGAAATCTGAAAACTTGTGTACCATCTAACAGTTAATTAAAAAATGTTTACTTATCCACAACATGGAAAGGATAATAAGCAAGGATACAGCACTGGTTTGGGTAGACCTGGCCTCCCTCTTTTCTAGAAATGCACCTGGTCAGCAGGGTATGTTGGATGGGGCATTGGAACATCTGCCAAGTGTGAGGGGCACTGAGTCTTTATGAGGCCACTAGGAAGCCTCGTCAGTGGCTGGAACCTTACCCCTCTCTGCCCCAGACCAAGTAAGTCTGAGGTTGCTTCTCTACCTTTCAGGGAAAAACTAGTTCAGCCAACATGGCAGAATCATAGGTGAACAGGAAGACACATTAATCACTTGCGCTTTAGTCCTGTGGACCATGCAAGCTTCGGGGTCAACTTCTCTGTTATTTAGGGGGGTAAACCCAACAACCTAACCTAGCCTTTATGGCAGAGACTCTTCCAGATGCTGCTCCCACCACAACTGAGATATTTGCATAGGCTGCTAAGGGCACCTCATCTCTTGCACAGTTCGATATTTACCAGTAAATTCGTACTCCACTTCTTTTCTAAATTCCATAATGATGACAGTAATAATTATAATAACTGACCTTTATAAAGTACTTTAAGGCTTGTAAGGTACTTCACATTCCCCAGATCATTTGAACTTCATCACAGCCCTGTGGATTGCTGTCCTCTTTTTAAATAGCCTTTTGCTTCAGTCACTTTTTTTTTTGAACTGGTTGTTGGCAGCTCATCCTACAGAAGAATCTGTGTTCACTGACTATATATCCAAGACATAGAGACCTCTGAGATTTGCCAGTGTTTTTATTGGAATGGCTAGGATTAGGGCCCCAGTAATAAATGAAGGGATGGAGACTGGCCACAGCCTAACTTCCTTTTGATTCAATGCAGAGACTTTTAACTGCGAATCTATAAATACATTATTAGCTTAGCACAGAGGAAAATGGGAACTGGAGCCAATCAACTCTATTCCATCTTGCCTTATTGGTAGTCACCATGACAATTGTCAAAATGATCTCACAATGCTGTAAATCAACAAAGTGTGGTATGGTCTTAGAGAATCATGATTACAATGCATTTAAAATCAACGTAAGTCATCCAGCACATAAATTATGCATAGTAATTACTCATCCCAGAAAGCTTCCTAGACTCTTCATATAGTCTTTTATTTCATATCCTTTCCAGAGTTTTGTGTTTATTCTGCTTCTGAGGGTTTAAAATAATTATGATTTCAGTAGTAGTATAGACGTAGCTTTAACAGACTAATATTGTCTTGGCTCTCCATTTCCTGCAGTTTCTGTTGTGAATAGATTAGCACAGAGTTAAATTTATATGTGACTGCTGACTAGACAAGTGGAAACTTTGTGTTTTTCTAGTTTCTGCCTGGGTGTCTTCTTATGTTTCTTCCAGCTGTCAATCTATGATTTTATAGACCAAATTGGTGATAAAAAGGGCACAGAGTTAGAACATCGTGGAGTGTTGTGATTTGTTATTTGTGTTGTTTTCCTATTAGACTGTAAGCTTCCTGTGGGTGGGAAATGTTTCACTTTTGCCTTTGTACCCTCAGCACCCAGCACAATGCTTCACGCAGAAATGATAAGCAGGATGATTTTAGAAAAACCTGGAAGATTTACATGAACTGATGCGGAATAAAGTGAGCAGAACCAGGAGAATGTTGTACACAGTAACAGCAATATTTTATGATGAAGAACTGTGAATGACTTAGCTATTCTCAGCAATACAATGAGCCAAGATAATCCCAAAGAAGTAATAATGAAGCATACTATCCACTTCCAGAGAAAGAACTGATATTGTTTGAATACAGAGTGAAGCATGCTGTTTTTCACTTTCTTTCATTCATTTTCTTTTATTTGATTCTTCTTGTACAAAATGACTAATATGGAAATATTTTACATGATTGCACATGTAGAACCTATATTTGATGACTTACCATCTCAGGGAGGGGAGGGAAGGAAGGAGAGATAGAGTTTGGAATGCAGACCTTTAAAAAAATGTTAAAAATTGTTTTAACATGTAATTGGGGGAAATTATATATATATATATATAATACATACACACATATATGCATATGTACTACATAAATGCTTGTTGATTAAAGTATATCACTTTAAAAAAAGGCAGACTAATTTTTTTGCCAGGGTAGCTAGACATGGAACAGAGAGAGCCGTATGGGACCACCAAGAAACAATCATGCCTAACTGCCACTGATCAGGTGAGGTGGGCAAAGGACCTACAAGGGAAAGTTTGGGGTATACTAGGTGTGGAAGCTCATCACTGCTCCTCCTTTCTTGCTAAGAAATTGACTGTTTTTCCTTAATAAAACTGGGCTCATCTGATTACAGGGGATGAAGACATAGGGAGCCAGAAGGAGTCCAGAATGAAAAACCCTATACTTCATTTGAGAAACATAAATGTGTGCGCCCTAAACTATTAGGTGGAAGTAATACAGGAACTGGGATAGAGATGACTGACCCTTTTAAACTGAACAATGAGCAGCCATTTGGGGAGTTTTCCATACTGTGTTATTATCTCCTATTTCTCTCTGCAAATGTACTTAAACTATAATATGAGTGTAACTTCCTAGTGGGCCACACAAGGCCGAGATGGATATAAGAAACTTAATAGGAAATGAAACACGAGCTAGACCTAAACTATATTTTTGAGATTTTCCTGAAATTAAATTTAAAGTTGGGCAAAAAATGACCTGAAGTTGTTATAGATTTATGAAATATTATGTCATTCTTTTACATTTTAATGCCCTAGACTGAACCTAGAGCAAGGGTTCTTAACATTTTTTTTGGTGCCATGGACCCCTTTGATATAGATCTCTTATCAGAATACTGTTTTTAAATGCATAAAATAAAATACATAGGATTACAAAAGAAACCAATTATAATGAAATGCAGTTGCCAAAATATTAAAAAAGCAATCACGTTTATGGACTCTATGGCCTAAAGGATGCTGGGTCAGGGTAAGGGAGTAGGGGTTTACTGCATTTAGGAGCCCTTCCCAGCTAGTGTACCAATCAACAAGTGTTAATTAAACAGCTGCTATGTGCCAGGCCTGTGCTAGGCACTGGGATACAAAGGCAAAATGGAAGAGTCCCTGCCTCATGGAGATGGTGCTCTGTAGGAGCAGACGACCTGTATATGTACAATTACGTACAAAATAAATATGGTAATTTTGGGAGAAGGAGGCACAACAGCTGGTAGGGAAGGGGTTCCCAGAGGTGGAGTTGAGGAGGAAGTGCATTCAAAGCATGAGGGACAAACTGTGCAAAGATTCAGAGAGGAGATGGATCTCCATGCATATAAAACAGCAAGAGAACTAGTTTGGTTAAACCCTCACAGTGGATAGAGTGCCAAGACTGAAGTCAAGAAGACTCATCTTCCTGAGTTCAAATCTGGCCTCAGATCCTTACTAGCTGTGTGACCCTGGACAAGTCACTTAGCCCTTTTTGCCTCAGTTTCCTCATCTGTAAAATGAGCTGGAGGAGGAAATGGCAAACCACTCCAATATCATTGGGTCACAAAGAGTTGGCATGACTGAAAACAACTTAACAACAAAACTAGATAGATAAGGCAAATTGTCTACTTCCTTAACCTACCAGGGGTGGTGGTAATGAATCCCTCAGGTCATGAGGTTCTCATCACCTCACAAGATGTATGTTCCTCATCATCATCACCCCCACATATTGAGCTTAGCTGCAGTAGTTATACTGTATCCACTCCTTTATCCTTGATGATATCAAGCAGGCTTCCACCATATGTTTGCTCTCCTAAATTAAGGGGTCTAGTGATCTAAGTGGGAAAGACAAAATAAATCCACTCAAGCACTGTTTGGAATGTTACTGGGAGGTGAAGATCATTTTGGGTGTAGATACGAGTGAGTAGATCTTCACCTCCTTATCTATGGGGCATTGACATAGAGCTTCACTCTTAATCTCAAAATGGGGTTTTTGGTCTATAAATCTTTCTCTATGTCTCATTCATGCTCTCATGGGGGGACCTCAGCAATGATCTAGTATAAACCCCTCACTTTACCGGTGAGGAGACCAAGGCCCAGGGACTTGTGGAAGTTCATAGAAGTAGTAGGCATCAGAGGTGTGTTTGAACCCAGGCCTTTTGTCTTCGGAGTCAAAGCTCTTTCCACCGTGCCAGGCTGCCTCTTAAAGAATTGATAACAGGCCATAGATTTAGAACTTCAAGGGACCTTAGAGGTCATCTCATCCAATTTTACAGTTTAGGAAACCTCAGGACAGGGTGTGTCCCAGGTTCATGTAAGTGAACTAAAAATTGTCCAAGACAGGTTTCAAACCCAGTTGCATGAAATTTTACTGTTTCTGGAATGAGTTAACAGTGTATTCCTGTGCGGCTAGGTGTCACATTGGATAGAGCACCAGGCCTGGAGTCAGGAAGATCTGAGTTCAAATTTGGCCTCAGATCCTTACTAACTGTGTGACCCTGGGCAAGCCACTTAACCCTATTAACCTCAGTTTCCTCATTTGTAAAATGAATTGGAGAAGGAAATAGCAAACTACTATAGTATCTCTTCCAAGAAAACTCCAAATGGGGTCAGGAAGAGTCGGACTTGAAATGATTGAACAACAACACAATTATTGTGCAATATCGTTTACTTTCATTTCTTATATTCCTCAGGAAGCTAGATAGTTCAGTCAATAGAATGCTGGACTTGGAAGACCTGAGTCCAAATCCAGGCTCAGACACTCGCTAGCTTTTTGACCCTGAGAAAATCCCTTAACTTTTGCCTGCTACAGTTTCATCATTTATCAATTGGGGGTCATAATGGTACCTACTTCACTGGGTTGTTGTGAAGATAAAGTGAGGTAACATTTGTAGCACACTTTGCAAACCTTAAAGCTCTATATAAATGCTATCATTTATATTATATTATTGTTATAATGTATTATCATTATTATCATCTAGTTTCATAAATATTTGTTGAATTGAATTGGCATTTCATCAAAAGCAACAGTTGAATCTCATCATCATCTTGCAAATATGCCATTACTCACTCCAGCCTTGATGGCATTGTTCTCCTAGAGTGGAATGCCCTTTGCTTCTCTTTCCCTCACTTTATTATAGTCATTGCTTTCAACATTTTATTATGTCCCTCAACTTTCCCCAAAACTTTCAGTGACTCCTTATTCTTTAACGATTTAATTTGGTGAGGGGGTGTGGGGTATAAACCTGCGATTTCATTAATGGAGAGAGCTCCCAGTAAGCAAATTCCTTCTACCAATGCAGATTGATAACTTGTTGTCTAGGAAAATTGCCTGGGACATGGAGACATTAGATGACTTACCCAGGAAGGGAAAAAATAACTCTGCTTTTTGCCCAAAAGTCATCATTGGTAATATCTCGTAGCCTATTTTTGTCTAATAAATCTCTCTTTTTGGGAAACCCATGATGGGGAGGGGAGATCCATCCATCCATCCATCCATCCATCCATCCATCCATCCATCCATCCATCCATCTATCTATCTGTCTATCTGTGTATGTGTATATGTATAAATATGTGTGTAGGTATGTGTGTGGACATATATACATGTATGAAAATATATAGCAGGAGTGAGCATATATATATATACATGTATACACTCATATTTATTGTTGAGTAGTCATTTTTCAGCTGTGTTCACTCTTTGT